GCGACGTGTCGTGATATGGAAATGTGTAAATTATGTTTTGCAAGTCTCTCCCCATACACTTTACCACCCTTCTCTGACCCACACCTCTATCCTCTCTGACAATTGTTAATAATTTTGCTGAGCAAAAATTTTTTTTTGGTTTCTGCATTTTATTTTTAGTGCGAAATTTTATGGCCAATATAATTTTTGTTTATTCTGTTTATTTTCGTGCACTCTTCACACACACACACACTCATACACACACACGCACAGGCTCTCACGCACATTCGTCACGATTTCTGTCATAAATAAAAAGCTTTCTGGCTTATTGGACGTTTTCATTAAGTTTTTGTTGCTACTGCCACTCCCCTCCTCTCCCTGTGATGATTGGCCAATAAATGTACATATAGTTTTGCGGTCTGTCTGGTGGCTGCTTTTATCGTTATTGTTGTAAATTGATTGCTTGCAATTTGTATTCGAGAGGCATCCATTCGTAGGCAAAATGTACCGTTTTTGTAGTCTGTGCTTTATATGGCGCCTTTTAATTGAAGCGCCGCCTGTTGTATCTGTCTGTCGCATAAGTCTCTCTCTCTCTCTCTCCCTCTCTCAAGGTAGAATAAACAGAAGGTAGAGCAAGCAAACTTGGCAGCCCAAAGAGAGCAACTGCAGAGTACCTTCTGTTACCTATACACCTATGGACTCTCTCCAAAACCCGAGCTCTCTGCTGCTCCCTCTTCGTGTGAAGCCTCGTTTTGCGGTGGCAATGAACGATCGAATCGAATAGATCGTTGGGTTGGGGTCGTTCTCTCTTCGTTCAACACGTGTAGATTGATATCGGCCACGATAAAGCTCGGCTCGGCTCGGCTCTCTCGATCTACCCCACTCTCTGTTGTAACGTAGCACTAATTAAACACCGTCAGACACAAACACACACACTCACAATCTCAGATTGCGCCGCAGACCACAATACATGTGTATGACATAATACACGTCGCGTCGCTTTGCCGTCCCCTCCCCCCAGCTTTCACTCCCATTTCATTTCAAGCCCCCTTTTCCGCACAGCCCCATAAAAACCCATTTCGCATCGCAATTTGAATGGTTGGCTGCTGCAAGTGCAAGAGAGATGGCACTTGATGGCGCTGCAGTTTGGTTTAGATTTATGTTTATACTGTTATTGCAGATTGACGTAATACCAGAAGATGATGGAAAGGCATGGTGAATGGAGAGGGGGGGGAATGAAACACAACTGTATCCTGAAGAGGACTTCTGTGGATTTGTTCTGAGTTTAATGATTATTTTTAGCTTATCGTAGTTGAATGTACAGCCCGTGATTCGGTTGTGATTTCACTGCAAATTTTCCATAATTCTGCGGAGATTATTGAAACCCCTTCAACAGAAAAAAAAAAGCGCCTGACTCGCAGAACCGCTCAGAAATGTTCCAAAACGCACTTGAGCACCATTAGCATAAGGGGGGGACTGGACTGGAGAGGCGTAGGTCTCTCCATTTCTGTGAATTTTTGCTGAATTTTATGATTATTTTTAGCTTATCGTATGCATATATCCCGTGATTCAGTTGTGATTTCACTGCAAATTTTCAATAACTCTGCGGTCAAGCTGGGGTTATTGAAACCCCTTCACTGACGAGCAATGGAAACCCCCTCTCCATATGGAATAAATCCCCCCCATAAGCATGTTTTCATGAGCAATCATTTATCTAATCCAGCTGGAACTCCCATTAGCATTAAGGGGGGACTACTGTACCCACGCCTCGCCAATCTTAAAACATTCGAAATCATCACGCCACTGAGAGTCCAAGTCCATACATAACTGACCGCCCGAAGACCCGAAAAAAAAAAAAAACACGCCTGACTCAGAGAACCGCTCAGAAGTGTTCCAAAACGGCCCCGGACAAGGCGCGTGCCAAGGCTTGAAGGGGAGTCGCGTGTTCGAATGACCCGAATTACGGAATAGATTAATGCTACTCAAAGATGATAATGCTACCACAGATCATTTTTTGTTGCATTCTCCACAAATTTTCCATGCCGCGAAGCGTGCGTCGCGATCTTATCAGTTCAAAAGTGAATGGAACGATCGGATCCAGCCCCCGAGCAGACCATGTGATCAGATCGCGAGCAAGCGAGAAGCGCTCTCTGAGCTTTTGTGAAGCTTTAAAAAGTTGCTAGAAAATGCTGTTACAGTGTGGATTTAAATGGGGGGCTTTTCATTATAGTGGTGGGGCTTAAAAGATCCGACATATGTATTTTCTAAACGTGAATGATGAATGGTACGGGTAATTTCTGTGTGTGTTTGTCGTAAAAGTTTATAATTAAATTCGTCGTCTTCCCTTCATCCAACATTCTCAGCCACAGCTCAGTTTTTTATGCGCAACTATATCATCATCATGAGGGTAAATATTTATAGTCGCCTGGTAACCTCGCTGTAGCTGTCGCTGCTGCCTGCTCTACTCCTGATAACGCCTCCAACGGCGACAGCGACAGCGACTATGATGACAGTGCAATTGATTATAGAAGGCGGCGGCGTCGTCGTTTATATTCTGGTTTTCTATTTCACAAATGTGGACAGCAGTCCGTCATGGCAACCCAAGGAGCCTCACAGGTTTTATCGAATTTCCTCCCCGCCATTTGATTAGTCTGATATCAAAGGCCATAAAAGCCGACCGTCGATCCAATGGGGTCAGCTTTGGGTGTACTCTCTGGCCCCACTACTGCTCCATGCATATCGATCGCAGGTGATCGGATTGGGTAAATTCGGGCTTATCTTACGGGAAATGTTTTGCAGAGGGTGGATAGGGTTTTTTGGGAGGGCTGCGGCTACACAATACATACATACACATATCAATTAGGCGGCATCTGGAGGGAGCTAATTAGTGACAGCGACAGTTGTGCAAATTATGAATTATTTATTGCATTGTACAGTGGGCACTCTGTTAGGAACACTTTTTTGAAAAATTAAGCAGAAACATCCATAAATAAAAGGAGTAAGATAGTAAAAGTACAAGACATCATTCCACTGTACCAAGTGCCATTCCACTGTAACTATATCGAATCAAAAAAAAACTGCCTCTCTTTCACCAATTTTGCATATGTATGTACTATATTAACCGCTATTTGCCAGAGCCACCCTCCGCCACCAACGAATAACAAACAAACGGGGGAATACAATAAAAAAAAACCAATTTTCAACAATCAGAAAAGCAAAATCAAATAATTTGTCACATGTTGCCTCGAAATCTAGTGGGGGGGGGTTTGGAGGGACGGTGCCGATTGTTTAACCCGCGCAAAATTACACACACACAAGCACACACAAAACCGCGCTCACCGCACAATCTCTTCTCTCGCAAAATGTAATCGAGAGAGGCAAACGGAATACGAGTGTGAGTGAGAGAGGTAGAGTAAACAAAATCAGACTCCCACACACACACGAACACACTATAGGGGGGAATTGCACGTGTTTCTTTCTTTCTGTTTCACTTGTTCTTTTTGCTGTCCTTTTTGTGGGCACAGTCTGAATGAGATGAGCATGTGGTCAGAGGTTCTGAGAGGGGAGTGTGGGGGAGTGGGAGTGGGAGAGAGCAACGGCACTCACCTCGAATTGATAAATCCATAATGTTCTCCCTTCCCTCGCCGACGACACTGCCGCTGGCTCGTGTTAATTTACGCTCTAACCCCAACATGGCGCTCTCACTGAATAATCCTAACTGTCGTTGCGGGGGCGAGAGAGCCGGAGCATAGCCAAAGAATCGAAGACACAGTTGTAAATTGGAAATCAAAACAAGAGAGCGGGCAAGATCGACAGCGCTGCTCTCTCCAGCCATACTCTCTCTGCCTGGTGACGCTGCTGCAGCCGGCGAAAACGCATCACGTGGTCGGCTGACGTCGTTGGCTGGAACGTAAGGGGCGGGTGGGGCGGTTGGGCGATCGACTGAGAGAGAACCAGAGCGCATTTGAATGCTTTCCAAGTGCCTGCTAGCCATCCCGCTCTCACCTATTGCGCCGTTATATAAGCTTATGTAACGGCGAGTCGACCAGGCATGCGCACAGAGGAACAGTGGGCCACAAAAATAGAAATCTATATTAGACCGAAACCCCATTCCCCCCCTCCACTATGTAGACATGTGCTGACGTCTGCTTCTGATGACTAATCTTCGGATGGTTCTATTTTGAGTATCGGTCGGGTCAAGTTGCAAAAGGATTTTCAGTGTTATGGCAAGGCGAAATGGAAAGTCGGAAAATCCCAAGTACAGTGGGTGTCAAAAAGGAATTACCTTACTCAGATAAAGTCGCAGGTCCCAAAATCAACTTGATTGGCAAGCTGTCGTCCGCCCATTTAGATACCGCACAAAGTGGGGGAATTAGTTTTGGGGATTACTTGACTGCGGAGTGGAGCCCCAAGTGTGGGGAGGTCTGGAATGGGAATGAACGCTAATACCACCTCCGCTGTGGAGGCAAATAACAAATTTAGATAAGTCAAGTGATATATTAGTTCTAATAGAAATGACATTTTTGTTGTTGTAAGGGACTCGGGCCTGGTCTCTCTTTCGCCACTTGAGCAAAGTGTGAATACTCTTTCTTTTGGAAAATAAATGGAAAACGAAAGCAGTAGTGTACAGCCAATATTTACACATTCATTCTTCAATTTTTGTTAATAAATAAAATATTTTTTTTTTAATTGTGCGCCCAAAATTTCCCTACATGATATTCTACACAGAAGCGTGATCAAGTCAAATACACACATGTGTAATGTAGAGCGTCACGTGTTGTGTAGTTAATGGCACAGTGGCGCTTCGCAACATTTTGTAAAATTCCGCAACATTTCGAAAAAATGGTCATACTGTACAGACAACAGCAAAGCTTACTGCGCAGCTGTTAGCAGTTAACAGGGCTGTTAGAAGCTCATACTTTAAACGAAAAAATGAGTCGGTGAGCGTAAAAACGCTCTTTGGTAAGGTATGGATAGCAGGCTAAAACAGAGAAGCACAATTTGCAAAGTTTGCAAGCTTTTGTTTTTTGTTGTAACTTTTCCGGGAACATGATCGGACGTGCGTAAAAACGTCGAGAATAAGTTGCGCGCCGGGTTTGGAGAATTTAAAATATTATAATTGTTTGATTGTGATTGAAATTGATTTACATTAAATTTTAATTGGAAGAATTAGTACAGAGTGTCAAAAACTGATACAGTGTTGTGCAAGTGTGTGTGTGTGTGTGCTGGAAGTGCGTGAAAAAAAGCAGCAAAGGGGAATGAGAAAAACATCAACAATGCCAGTTTGAACAGCAACCAAAGGCAGGAAGAGAAGGAAAATAGAGAAATAAGTGCGGCAAAAGCAAAGGAAGGATTAGAAATTCCTTCGAGAAATAAGTAAATAACCAAAAGAAAACTACAGTTTGAGCCATGCAGCAGGCAGCACAATCGCAGGTGGCGTCACCATCTCCGCCAGATTTTGATTTCCAGATGCCGTGCCGCTATTTCAAAAGTTCTTTTGCGCGTTCGCTTTCGCTGAATGGCGCCGGCAGTGGTGCAGGCGGTGGCAGCGCAGCCTTGGCATTGTCCAAGAACAAGAAACCGCAGACAAACGAGGTCACGCAGCAGCAGCAGCAGCAACAACAGCAGAGGCAAAAGCAAAGGCAGAATAAGGAACAGCCGATAGATGCAGCGGTGGAGCGGGAGGGAGAACTGGAATCATCCTGTTGTTCTACGCCGCCTCCGGCTCTGCCAGCGCGACGTCACACGTCTGGCCACAACAACAACAACAACAACTTGATGCATTTCAGCAGCGCTGCCGCTAATCAGCTGCTGCTCTCTCCACTGCCAGCTCCAATGCAGACCCAGAGGAATCTCAATCATGTCTGGCCAATGCAGCAGCCGCAGGCGTCGGAGTCGTCGCAGGTTGGTATCAGTTTTATGTGCTTTCATTCCTCAATCACCCCTCCCCTCCTCTCCCCTGTCCAGTACATATCTCCTTTTGGTGTGACCATTCCATGACAACAAATTTTTTCATTTCACATTTTTTTAAGGTCACTTGATTTATGTGCGAAAAAGTGTGTTGGTTGCGTGTGTGTGCGTGTGGGTTGTGAGTAGTGGCATTGGCTAGGCGAGAAGGAGAGGGGAGGGCGATATGTACACATGTATGTTTGAGGTGGAGATATGGAATATGTAACAGTTATTAAGTGGACCTGAAAAGTTGATTTAAATTGAAAGTTGCCGTCAGTGATGACAACATATAGCCAAATGAGTGGAATAATTAATAACGAAGAGAGAACAAGAAAAAAGCTCTCTTAAATGGAACTCTTCAATCTATCTGTTCTATCTGGTTGGTCTTCTCTAGGTCAAAGGAAAACAAACATTCAATTTGTTTCGAACTCGAATATAAACAATCAAAACTTTTTGTTGTTTATAGAAAACTTGCAAGGTCTACTCAGAAACTATTATGTGGCCTAAACTGTAATTAGCTAAAGAATTGTTTCTCCATATACGAATAAACATACATATGTGTGTGTGTGTGTGTTCGTGCGTTTTGGGCCCAATAACATTCATTAAGGCGGACCAAAAAAGCGAATGCGAGTGCAAAGGTCAGGCCATAGTTTTAATAATTGCTAGGAAAAAGAGGGGAACAGGAAGGGGTGGGACGTACTATGGAAAGAGGCAGGGAGGGAGTGGGGGCACCCTCCCAATTACATATTTCATTGGCTTTTCTTCATGGCAACAAAAAAAAAAGACAATCAAACAATCAACAAGTTTATAGCCTTTTGTCTTGCGGCCAAATGCAAAAGCTCTGGATGGCAATTGGATACCCAGCCGAATGGCTTGCCCCTCCTTGCCTCTCCCGTTCCACCCAGTTGCAAAGCCTCATTACGAAATGTCGCCAAGATTTTGCGGCTTTAATAGACGCAGATAAAACGTAATGAGAAAAAGTAGCAGCCAGCAGCAGCAGCAGCAGTTTATTATTATTTTTATTTTCTTTATTTTTCTTTATGATTGTCACTTGATATTGTCGCTTGTTCGATGTTTTGTTGCCGGTTGCCTGTTGCTCGTGGTGGCCTCTTGGCCACACTTGAATGGTCTCTGCCTCTGCTGCTGCCTCCCGCTCTGGCTCCCGCACTGGCTCTGTTGTCGCATAATTTGAATTTTTCTAACGCAGCTGCTGCTTGTGGAAGCTTTCCCCTCGTGGCGGCTGTTGCAGCTTGTTGTGTGGCAGGCTACCTCTGGGGGTGTAGGAGTCGTGTTGCATGCACCATCCTCCCAGGGAAGAGAGTTCATTGCATTGGCTTTTCACTTTCAATTGTGGTATGGAAAACCAAAGGAAAACAACAGCAAACCGCATTCGAAGTTCGCGTAGCGTGTTGACAGCTGTTGCAACCGCTGCCTCTAGTTGTGGCATGATGCAGGCGTGAATAGAAGTCAAATTACGATGACCTTACGCTCGCGTTGGTAGGGGGGCAAGCGATTGCCCAATATCTCTCTGGATGCCATGCAGTAATCGTTGGCTTAACCGATTCGATGGGAATCGATTGAACTTCAAACAGGTGCTCCTCATCTCTGGCTTCCTTTTGTGTTTTGTAGGTATCTTAGCCTTGGGTCTTGGGCCTTTCCTTGCCTCTACCTACCTCCCTCCCTCCCTCCCCACTATTATATAATCATGTTTTGCTGTCATTTGGTGACTCCATTTACCCTGAAGATTGTCATATCAACCAAAATGGTACACAGAAATGTCTTCATTTAAGGGAATTATAAGACCATGACCGAGCCACTTTGGGGAGTACTTGTATTAGCCATTTATCTGTCTTTCCGCCTAATGGACGTCTCTTAGGGCTAATTGAAGGGTAATTTTACAGAATAATAAGGTGGAACGCTACCAAAGTGAATGATAAAATGAGATTCTAGATCTATTTTCTTTTCTAAATAAAGGAAAACTTTTCTTGCAATGCCTTTTTACTTCACATATCACACTTGATGCAAATTTTTATTCACCCACAGAAATCTGTATATATTCAGGGAAGGAATTTTTCTCAGATGAAAAACACTTTGTTAGAAATCCCCTGGCTGTGGCATCATCGCAGCCATAATTTCTACAATATATGGATGGACTCTGCAGGGAGAGGCACTCTCCCGTCCATTCATTCCATCTGCTCGTCAATCGTCAATGCGATGATGAGTCCAGAGGGGGGAGGGGGGTTACACTGAGAGTGGGGCATAGAAGTGCAGACGCCACTTTGCCCCCAGGTTGCATTACGCAAAAATTTTACGAAAAATCAAAAAATAAAACGAACGAAATATTGCATAAATCAGGGAAATTTTTGAAGATGAAAAGCGGCGGCACGAAATACTCTGCCAGAAGATGGAATTGCTTGGACTAGCTTAGGATAGATAGATAGACAGTATAAAGATTGAGCATATAAGGAAAGAGTATACACTTTTTTCCCTTTATTCATAGGGATATCAACAGCAGAAAGAGAACCCCTTAGTTGTGCTGATCCCAAGGAAATGCATGCCAAAGGCAAGAGAGTGTGGAAAATGAATTTTTCTGTTGATTTTTGCGCACTTGTGGCACACACCAGAACGCATGAGGATGGAGTTGATTGCCTCTGCACTGGCCCCTGCCCCTCGCAAAGCAGCTCCCACACATAAATCCCAAAAAGAGCAAGAGAGAGAGGGAGGGAGAAAAGTGTGATATTTATTTATAGCCAACTGGTGCTAAAGCTAAAAGAAAAATAAATGCGCCAAGAAATGGGTTAACTTTTTTGTGGCTTGTAAATGTTTTATTCATACATTATTCATATGTACATATGTACATACATGTATGTATGTATATAAACCCCTTAAAGTCCTTATCTAAAAGATGCAATGAGTGAAAAGTGCATTCGCATTGAATCAAATCCCAAATAAATAGAAGTAATCATAATAATAAAATAATTTCGTTCGTTTTTTCTTCTTCGTCAAACATTTTTTAACGATTGAATAACCGTAAAACCGTAATTTCTCAAATATTTTAAGAGGAGCTTCGTGTCGTGTCTGCGTCTGTGGTCTGTGGCATCATTTTTTGTTTTTGGCCACATTCCAGTGTGTCTCGTGGCGCTGGCTCTGGCTCTGGCTCTCTACTTGGCCAAGACTCAAATCAGCGGCGACTAACAACTTGAATGATGGACTGAAACGACTGATTGACTGACTGACAGAGTGGCTGACTGATTGACTGACTTGCTCGTTGCAGAGCATTTTGCATTTTGGCCTGATCGTGAAATCGTCTTTCAGCGAACGTCTGGCATCTGGCGTCTGGGCCTCTCATTAGGCAGCATTTTCCCAAGCCGGAAACTATTTGGCCATAATATTTGGTCATCTTAACCATCTCTCTCAGTCTCTCGCTCTCTTCTCCCCCTCTTTCCCCCTGTTTCTCTCTCTCTCTCTCTCTCTCTTTCTGATTGACACATTGATATACTTTGGGTCCACTGGAGTTAGGACTGTGGGGGTCTCCAGCCCCCAAGTTTGGGTTTCCACTGTTTTGGTCAACTTTTATTTGCGTTTAGGCCATCATTTAAATGCCTCTTGGCCAAGACAGGGAGAGTAGGAGGCTGAGCAAAGTGGTTTGGTTCCCCTTTGATGGATTGATGCAGATGGCCAGTGCCTCAGTGGCTAAGAGGAGCTACAAACTGTTTTTGGAAAATTGTGGAAACTCTGGCGGAGGTGAGAAGGTAGGGGAGCAGCATTTTCATAGATTTTTTACTTAATTCCTTTTCATTTGAAACACAATTTATCGAAAACCAACAAATTCCGTATTCATACGAATTTTTCAACGATTTTCTATAATTTTTTTCGCACTTCTCACTAACGGAAAAGCTATAAAATTAAATTGTTTAAATTTTCTGGAAAAAAAAAACAAATCTATTTGTTGTTGTTTATTTGAAAGAAAAAAATGGCAAATGGAAGGGAAAATAATTTCGAATGGCAGGCAGCTACTGTAGCGGTTCGGTGTGGAATAGACTTCTGCCCAAATGACGGTGTATGGTCCATGCCACTGTGACACTGTGGGTCCAAAATAGAGTGTACATGATTACACAAGTGGGCGAGACGTGCGAGGGGGCAGCAAAGGAATACCTGCTACACTGGTGGTCAACAAAAAAATGTGCACATATTGATAGAGCTAAAACACTGCCTACCAGAATATTGTGCACACCTGTAGAAATAATTACGGAATTCTTTACACTTTACACTGCTGTCTGAAATAAAAGGACAACTGGGCTTAAGCGTGAATCTGCCAGACCATGAAAATCATTTTCTATATAAAAAAAGCCCGTGGGGGAGAGAGAGAGAGAGAGAGGGAGCGGAAGACAAGTTCTCTACTGCTCCGCTCCCTCTGCACTCATTCTGTGTGCGTTGTGTGCATTTTCGGATGATGCTTGGTACGGGTTGGGTGGGGTGGGTAGTGGGGGGTGCGTTCATCAAGTGTAAAACAATAACAACGAAAAGGAGAAGCAGAAAACAACAACAAAACGCTCAGCAGAGCAGCAAATTTCGAAAAAGGCGGAATTGAGCCGATAACAGAATAGCAGCAACAACAAAAACAAAAAACAACAACAAAACATTAAAACAATAGCCAAAAAGCAACAACAATAAGGTAAACCGAAATTAAGGTAAAACATCGTCGGAAAAAATAGTGGAAGAGGAGGAGAAGAGAAAAAAAAAAAGAGAAAAAAGAGCCCCCCAAAAAGCCGCAGTGAACGCGTTTCGCTGCGTTTGGTCCGCGGCGTTCCCCTTCAGCGGCCACCCCCAGCGGCAGAAGCAGCGACGGCGACAGCGAATGCTGAGCGTTGCGCATGCGTACCTGTTGCCCATGCCTCTGTCTCTATGTCTCTTTCTTTCTCTCTCTGTTGTACCTTTCCGCCGCTTGTCAACTT